GTCTGCAAAACGAACGTTTCGCACGAGACTTCCTCCAAAAGTCCAGCGGAAACACCCATCGGAGCACACACATCACGCAGCCCTGCCAAGCAGTTTCGCGATTCCAGCCCCTCCAAACGACACCCGCTCACACGCCAATCCCACTGTGACAGCGCAACTCACAACCTCCCGATTCCCTGCGACTGCCACGAATCTTTCCGCGTCCACACGTCTAACGCGCACAAAGTACTGCGCCTGTCACGAAATGTCACCTCCGTCACACATCGCAACCTCACGATTCCCTGCGCCTGCCACGAAAATCATACTTCCACACCTCAAAACCCGCACAAAGTCCTGCGCCTGCCACGAAAAGTAACAATGTCGTCTCATGTGAGCTTCAACAAAATTTGCACCACACCACACGTTTGGAATGATTTCGACCCGTTCTGAGCACACTCCCATCCACCAAAATCGGCATTTCAGCTGAGACTTGTCACGAAAACAGAGCTTCGATGCCACACCCTGAAACGCAAGTCCCAATGGCACGGCCACATCCAACACCCCAAAAACACGACTCTCCAAACGCTAATCCCAATGGAACTGCGCAGCAATCTGCAGATCTCACAAAACGCTGCGCCTGTGCAGCGAAATGCATCACGCTTCTTGCGCGACATGTCATTTTCACGCAAATCACAATGGACTAGCGTCGCAAACTGACACGTGACACATCCATGAATAGTCACTTGCAAAAGCTTCCCCCAATGGCAGCGCCTTAGCGACCTACTGCGGACGGTTGCGAACGGTTGCGAAGGGTTGCGAACGGTTGCGGACGGTTGCGAACATAGAAGCAACGGGTCGCGAACAAGACTCTACCCCCAGACCCCCAAGAGTTAAACGAGAACCCTTCGCTACGCATTCGGGAAAAAACACACATGATCATCACATGATACCCTAGGGCTCCAACCATACCCGAAGGTGCTTCAACACCCACCCCCCACCATGAACCACCTTCTCAAAGAGGGAGGTGCTCCGCCCATTTTCCGGAGACCATCAACTCCCCCACCGGTCTCGAAGCCCAAGGTTCCCAGAACACCCACGGAGCCCAGGTAGCCCTCCACGCCCTCCGTCTCGTTGGTGTCCAACCTCATCGCCCAAGGCTCCGAAACCTGAAGGCGTCTCGACGCTGCCGGGGGAATGGTTCCACCCGAAGCCGAACGGGGCCCGAAACACCGAACGTATACGCTCCGGGTGACGGGCGGTTCACATTGGGTTCATCGTATACCAGGAGCCCCACAAAGCATCAAAAACCTTGCGTTCCCTGGGTTTTTGTATGTGAAAACCTTTTTCATGGTCTTGAGGGCCCCTGGTAGGGGGAAAAGATTGAAAACAACCATCAACCAAAAGTTTGATGTGTGGCGGGAGGCCCTCAGGGAGACACAGCCACAGGCCACCATCCTTGGGGTTTGTGCTCCCCTGGCATCAGGGTCCACGCCGTTCCAGCCTGCAGCTCACCACGGCTGCGCAGCTCCAAGCTGAGGGCCGCAGCAGCGCTGGGCGTGAGCGTGGCCTCGCTGGGATTTCGATAGGTGAGGTTCAGCAGAAGCACCTGAGGCGACGCGGCGACGCGAGTCCACCTGAGACCAAAGTGGACTTTTGGGACTCCTCACTGTGAGGAGTAGCCGCGAGGATTGGAGTAGGAAGCAGTGAGCCCTTGAACCCACCCGTCCAACGGTGATCGTAGAGACCGCCCCAATCCAACCAATGTTTCATGATGTTTCATGATATTAAGTCCATCTTCCATCTTGCACCAGGACTCTCAAAGTCACGACCGCTTCTCTGCCGCTTATCGGCCCCTCGGAGCCCGCAGCCCCGCCTGGTCCGCATAGACCGCTTCGCCCGCAGCCATGCTCCAGCGGCACTCATGGGGAGACACGCCCCGCGCGGCCCAGTGGAAGGAGGGCTCCGAGGTCATGGCGAGGCACTTGAAATCGCTGGGGAGCAGCAGTGAGAGGCCGACATCTGAAAAGCCTGGGCGGGGAGTTGTCATGGAATCCTGGAAGCGTGGAAGAAGAGGAAGAAGGAAGGAAGGAAAAGAACAAACACCAAAACGAGAACGAGAAGAGAAACAAGAACAAGAACAAGAACAAGAACAATCAACAACCACCATCACAAAACCACAATCCAACAATGACGGTGACAAGCACAACAAACAATGAACACACACCAATCATGCGATGTAATTACTGGTCTTGATTGTTTCCTTTATTTGGCACAACCATTGGAACTTGAAAGCTCACCCGCTATGAACTCCCTGGGATTTCCGGGGCATGTCTCAAGACCATACACTCATTGAGGCTCATGGAAGTGTATGGCATGACCCTTGGATGACACTTTTCCGAATACCAAACAGGTGGTTGTCACTTTGATGGAAACTTCAGCCGCATGTGTGTCGCCAGTTACTCCCTTCCCATGCTTGGCTAGGCCACTCTCAGCCCGCAGCACACAGGGCAGGACTAACCGCAGCGTGAGCTGGTTCTGCTGTCCGGTGAACCTGGGGCTTGCAAGAGGGTGGTCTGGATGGCGGCTGGTTGGAAGACGTCTTGCCAAAATAACACGAATAACAGAAGTGAATTCACTTGACATTGCCAGGCTCAATGGACACCCATCACTTTAGCACAAGGGACGTTTTTCTGGGGGGGAGGTTAACAAAGCCCAGTCCAGCAATTAGGTCTTGGTATTCTGAGGTTAACTTGATCTCTCATGTTCAGGACCGAGACTGAGAATGCCGTGAAGGCATCCACCGACGGTCTCTTGGACCTAGAGGACTGACTTCCGCAAAGGAGTTGAAGCCTTGAGCTTCTAGAGATTCCCCGTCGAAACTGCAGGAAAACCATGCTTCAGGAACAAAATGCATGGATTCACTGGGGTTCCCACCCTATGGCCTAGTAGCAATGGCCTCCACCCGAAAACTGATCCCCCCAGAGTTGGACGCCCCCAAAACCATCACCAAACAATCTCCACAGGTGACTTGCGACCCCTCTGCACCACCCAGCCACGGCGTGGTTCCGAAGCCGCTCCGGCCCGCTGCGCGGATGCCAAAGAAGGTCTCGGCCACCGGATCCGCCTCGGAACCCGAAGCGCCGACCTACCCGAGGCTTGAGACCCACATTGCCCATGCCGGGGCTCCTGCGACCAGCACCTCCTGCAGAAGAAGGTGGTTAGACCGCCCTGGCACCTCCCAGTCCCACCGAACCTCAGGAGGGGGCGGCCAGGCGCTTTAGGGATGGAACCTGGACCAGACTGGAAAGAAAACTTCCTCTACAACTTCCCCATGGTTTTCAGATTCCATCTGGGTCTCGTGCAGGGCGCCGCCCCGAACACCACCTCCACGGCCCCACGGACGAGCCGGGCCAAAGCAGTCCGAAAGCAGTCCGACATGGAACTGCAGAGCTCTGCCGTGACCTTCGGGTCTTCAACCAGGCCAAGGTCTTCAACGTGACTGGCTTCTGTATGCTTCTGTCAGACGTTTCGCATTCAATGGTTGGAAGATGTTTGAAGAGGTCTTCGTCTTTTGCCCCTTTTTTCTAAGCTCTCTTTGCTCAGCTGACTTTGGGTCTTAGTTGCAAAAAGAAAACCCTTGAAAAGGTCCAACTCCTTGGAGCTACACTCAAAACTAGCCGGGGTTATAGGGCAATGTCTCAAAGAGTGCAGAAACCCCGTAAACTGGCGATGGCTCCGTCATATCACACAAGAGCACAAACATATCTGATGATCAAGTGAGCAACTGGCTTCCACCACGCGTTGCACGAGACCTCAGATTTGCAGAACTGGAGATGAACACGCAAAAAATGAGTTTCGGATAGACATTTGATTAAAACCATATGTGTGTGGGTGTGTGCAAGCTCTAAAGGAGTCAGCCTCGCATGACCACCTGCTAAGAACGTATAAGTATAATGCAAACACGGTGAACGTGTGAAGTATATGGCAAACTCTGGAAAACACACCCTTCAAGACCTGCATCCTCTCCAGTGTGGGGGCCATTGTCCACACTGTCCAGTGGAGGGCATGTTCACCCTTCCCGTCATCTCACGTCATCTCAGTTTGAATCCGAGGCTCTGGTGCTGCCATCTCCAATTCAGTGCCATTCACATCCTCTCCGATAATGCGTAGCTCCACCACTGGGAAGGTTGGAAAGAAGCTGCGGACGTCCTGAAGATCCAATGCCAGCTCCGAGTGGAAGGGAAGGGACTCCAAATCACCTTAGTGAAGATCTCCTCTGAACCTATTCCACCTACGAACATGCCGGCCTCCATCGATAGCGATGGATAACACCACACCCCCCTTTGAAACAGCTTCGGATCAACCATGCGCTTTCCTCCGCCCCAGTGGCTGACATTCAGCTGGATCTCCAGGGCCGGAAGAAGGAGACTGCCAGCGGTCTCGCTGGGCTCCAGGCGCTCAGGCCAGGCATAGAGGGGCAAAAGGGCGAGGTGAAGAATGACCTCTGAGATGTTCTCAAAAGCCTCCAGTTCCAACCTCAACGACCGTCGGGCAAAGTCCGCGCTGGTCCCGTCCGTTCCGTCGGTCATGTTAGGCCGTCCTGCTGGAGGTTCGGATGTTCAGAGGCACTTGGCACTATAGGCTCCCAGGCAAAACCAACATCTGTGGATGTCCAGATTCAAGATTCTTCCAAGCTCCTCCCCCTACCACATCCCAACTATTTGCAGAAGTTTCAGGAATAGATGGCACAAACAGCTACATGTCCTTTAGATGGGGGTTGATATAAACCACCTCGTGGGGATTGCGCCATCTACTCTGAACCCACTGTACTGTTCCTTTTTGGGGGGGAAGGTCAGTTCAACCCACACCAAACCCTGCTGTCGCAAGCACTCCAAGCAACCTTGGACCCGTCAGGATCCATGGCGATTCCGAGGTCAGCTGCCACGGTCCATCACTGAGGATCCCGATGTTCATGGAGAACGACGTGTCCGTGTCCAGCATGGGCCGGGTGCCTAGGCTGGTCGAAACCACCCAAGTGGAGTTGTGAATCAAAAGGATACGAGCTGGTTGCAGAAGGGAACATGGAACAAGATTGAACAAGAGGGTAGTGGTCAAGTTAAATATATTGTGGTACTTCCATAGCACAATCCATGATGCCCATGCTTTCTTTTGGATGACACGTGGGAGTTGACCAGTGACATCCCGTGACGCCTCGTGTCCTGTCCAACTTTGCCCAAGGGTCCCTGTTTGGGAGTGCTTCTCCCTGTCGGTACCCATCTCATGGCGATGGTCGTGACATGTTGAGACAGCGGCATTTTTGCATGAAAAAAACATACTGAATATGTTTTCTACATGAAAGGAGACACGCGCCCATTGTTCCATAGCACCACTCATGAACATCTCGCTCATCCCACCCAGCACTCACATCTGTCAGAGCCACCACTGGCTGCCAGCACCTCTAGTAGCAGCAGCTCAGCGAGGTCGGCGTCTGTGACACTCAACTGGGCCATCGACGTGCCGGCAACGAAGGGAGCAAGAACCTCCGCATCAAAGACCAGCTGGTAGCTGCCATTGGCCAACCTGAGTGCCACGGCCATGGTTCTGGGGCCAGGTTTGGCACTGCGGGTGAATAGTGGAGGCGATTCAGGATGTGAAGAGCCCAGTGGGGGCGCCGCAAGTTGTTTTGCCCCATGTCCGTATGGAATGCCCTAGACGGCAATTATTGTTATCATCTCTCACACAGCGTTGGCTCTAATTGCATGAAAAGTTAGTGCAACACCCTCATGTATATCATCAGGTTGTTGTTTCAACTCACGTGCAAGACATTAGTCAGACGGTTCAATCAATCATCCCAAGATATCCCAAGTACTATCCCAAGTGACTTAAAGTTCGAACATAAAACATATCTGAAATCACCACCCAGTCATGCACACCAATCAGAGTAAACAACCTCGCCAGGGATTTTGGTGAATCGCCAGGGATCTCGTACTCCTACCTACCTCGGTCCCTGACCCCCTCGCCCTCGCTCCGTAGACGAAGCCCATCCATCGCCGGAATCGACCGACCCAGGCACCAGTCACTGGATGAGAACTGCATCAGCATCTCCAGCGTGCTGGCATTCCACCAGCAACCACTGGGCACCGGAAAGCCCTCCTCCTGCCGCCATCGTGTCGGTCGGTCGACACCCCAGCTCGCCGGGTCGAACTCGAACGACCGAGACGCACCGAGACGCACCGAGAGGCGTGACGTTCGGAGCTGCCACCAGTATGGCACTAGCACGAAAGGAAGATCTCGTCATGGGATAGAATGTAGATATCTTGATTAAGAAAAACGGTTTGAAGACCTCTTCAAGAGGATGGAGCACCTCTTCAAGTGGGGGACTTTATGAATCAAGAGTCTACATGATTGGTGAAGTGACAGGCTATGTGTATGGCATGAATCCTGTCTCAGTGGCTTACTGCGCGAGGTTGGTTGCACTAAGTCATGGCCCACCGACTGATTCCTGTTGTGCATCCACTTCCGTCAAGACATAAAACATCTCATCGTCTGTTCCACCATTCCGGACCCTTCAAGACCAATCGCTTGCTATGTGTCATCCATCCAGTTAACCTGTGGCTCAAGACATTGGAATGCCTCCACTGGCCAACGGAAGTACAGGAAAAATCCAAACAAACATCCCATCCCTCTGCCCCTAAACATCACCCACCCACCCACCCCCACCCCATGGACTCTGCTTCAGGGTCTCCTGATCACTGGAGAGCTCTCGAAACATGTCCCCACATCCCACGGTCGCCGCAAAGCCGAGCGCCGCTGCGCTCTGCGCGAGGCGCGGCGCCAGGAAGGGTCCAAAGATCACGGAGAGCTCCACAGGCGGCGCGGGAGAAGGCCTCGACGACTGGGCGGCTTCTAGACACTTTTGTTCTCCTCCCACTAGCTGAATTGAGGAAATGTGAAACATTACCGAAGGATAAATAGGGGCAAACAGATTAAGAACATTTGAGCAACATCTCCCTGAAAGAGGAATCACCCGCAAAGAGGATCAAACATTACACCACCAAATCTCACACCCAATATACACTGTGGAAACCTGTCCTGCCCAACATGCCCACGAAAATGACAAAAAGTGCTACATAGAGCCCAAAAGAACAACTATTTGTTGCCAGTTGTCTTAAGATGCTCTACCCCTTTCAAGTTTCATGTAAGCCTTTGCAGGAGTACTCATTACTGTCTTTTTTGCGTGTTCATTGAAGTCACCCCATTCAGGCCCACGTCCCCTCAAAAAGACAATAGAATGACAGATGCAGCACCTTCACAAGTCTTCACAAGTAGAGGTTCCAACAACTTTCTTTTGGTTTGGGGGGGACATCTGGCTTCATCAAGAAAACTGGTTTGGTTGAAGTGGTTGACCAATTGTCATGAATAACAGGGTCATGGAAAGTCATGCAAGGGGTCGGAAACAGGTAATGGGGGCGCGTACAGGTTTCCACTACCCCAGGGTCTCACGGGGCGTCTGGGTCTTGCCATGGAGACCTTTGAATCTTACAAGTCATGGTGGGGAAGGAGGAGGGTCTGTGAAACACTTGCTGATGAACTGACCAAACTTGAATGGAATACCGATCCTCCCATCCCTTAATTACAAACCATCTGTACCAGCTGAAGTGGGCATCAGCTAAAAGATCTTGGCCAATTCGCCTCATCACTTCGTAAGTCACTCCAGGATGAATCCACTTCGCCAGCCCTACACCTTTGAAGGGAACAAGTCACATCATCAGTCATTGCATCAGGTGTTCTCCAACCTCCCGGCCTAGAACTCCCCCCACGCCCATCCGCCCCGAAGCCGCTCCAACGTGCTCCGCCTAGGCACTGGGGTGACCCATGCACCTTCAGCTGAAGGGCGCAAGGTGCCACGCGGCCAACCGTGGAGCTGGTGCTGTGCAGAAGGGCACCTCCAAAGACGAGGAAGTGCTTGAAGTGCTTCTTCTAGAAACATGTCTCATGTCTCCAAAAAATAACCACAGACTGAGAACCAAAGGATCCTTGCGAAAAAAATGTGGCTTGTAGATGTTGCCTTCGAAGACTTCAGTGTCACCTTCAGTGCCCCGCAACCAATGGTTAGCAGCGTCACCAACCCAATTCTTCAACTGAGTTGCTTGGGGAGCTGGCGTGCACGAGAGAGACGATCCAACCAATCGCCGCCCAATGGAGCATTTGCCTACCTGAGCCGAGGCTGTTGACCATGTCGGAAGGAAGACCAACAGGTTGACATGAAAACGAGTTGCGAAGCATGACCCAAGAACGGAGCGCTCTGTGATGCCAGAACCATCCAGAAACCGCTGATGGTACTGAGCAAAACTGATCCACATCGGGCATCGGACACCAGGGCCATCTGTTCGGAAACCAGGGCATCTATGTTGCGGTCGTTTCTCTTGTTCGGCCCCACCTATCCCAATCATCACTCAAAAGTGTTGATGATGTCAAAACCATTCAAAACCCATTTAAAAAAAAACTGGTCAATAAGTCTTGGGGCAGTATGAAAGTCAAGGCTCCTTCACCAGTGCGGCACCCTGCGCAGCCAGCCGCACAACAACTGCCCACGCAGCAGCCCAAAGCCTCTGCCCTCGATAGCAGCCATTCTGGGCGCAAACCAGCGCGGCGGCAAGAAGGGCAAGCGTCGCAGAAGCCACAGTAGGAAAAGCAAACGAAGTCTGTCTGATTTTTGTTGATCCTTGCAGCGTTTGATCCATGTATAACTCAAACTTCTATTGTTCTACAGGTGTCATCGCACCAGTCTTTGATGACCCCTTGTCATCCTTAGCCTTAGCCTTTCAAAGTGAGGGGCAGTTGAAGACACGGGAGGATCACAACGCGGTTGTGAGTCTATGAATTGGATGGCTGCTGTATCTGAACATCTCCGATTCCTGGCAAATGATGTGGGACCTCTTTGAGCCTTACAGCTGCCCTACACCAACCTGTTGATGCCCTGCTGCAGGACCCTACTCCTCAACCCTCAACCGCACAAAATAGCCCAAAAGAGCGCCAGAAATGCAGCCACTTCCCACACTTCCCAGGTGCTAAAAGGCAAGAACAGCAGTCACTGCATCACTGCACCGTGTGAAAATAGTCCATCGATGTCCATCGTTCATACTATATATGTTCATACATGTTCATACCAACATGCCAGCTTAAAGGCGATAACGGTTATACAGTTATACATGATGTACAATACCTGGACGCTTCCCGACCTCAAATTGATTGCTTTTTCTTCAGTTGTTTGGACCCATGTCACGCATCAAGCTGGAGACCGACTGTCCTGGCATGCCCTGGCAATGCCAATCTAAAGCAACCGAACAATGTCAACCCATGATGATCCACGGATTAACTGGACCCATCAACCACTTGGTAAGATCATATAGAAACCTCCTATATGTTAATATATTTCCTATTTTAATGTACTGACTCCCAGTATATAACTACTTCGTAAACAATCCATCGTAAACTCCTCCTTTCTACTCATCTAATCAACTTGGAATTTTTGGAGTTCCTGAACCTCCGTGCGCAACAACACAGATCTCCTGCCAAGAATGCGCCCCCGCCCCAACATCCCCAACCCACTTCAGAAAAAGAAAATAACCACATCCGCATACATCCGCCCATCTGCAGTTGAACAAGTTGAACAAACCAAATAGGAACACATAGAACAACACATTAACACATCTGCACAGAAGAAACACCAATGCACCCCAGGGCGCCATGAGCGCTAGCTCTCGCGGGCTCACCGTCATCATCATCGTCGATTGGCTCACCTCCTGCGCTCGAGGGGCTGCGAGCGGCGAGCTGCGCGAGGGCATGGCCACCGGGGTGGCTGGTTTCCCGGCGGCGTGGGTGGAGGGGCCTGGAGGGGGTGGAGAGGATCGACCTCTTTTGACTGAAAACAACCTTGGCGGCGGTTCGGACATGGAATGAGCCGAATTCTTACGCAGACTCCTTGGTGATCCTTGGTGACTATAGGCTCCAAATCTGAAAAGTGGAACCACCACGAGCCTTGCAAATCTTGTTACTTCTCCGAAGTTAGGAACAAAGCCGATCAAAAGCCTGCCATCACTAATTTTGGATGAACCGATTCCACCCACAAACCCAATGGACTTGGGGCAAAACCGCGCTGAGAGCTTAAAGGGGCGGGGTCGTTGGTGGAAAAAGGACTCACTCAAATCCCTTCGATCCATCCCTATGGACCGTGTGACCGCAACTGTGAAGGTGGAGCAGGGAGACTATTGATCTTGTCTCGGAGGCGAAGTGAGCGCCCAAGTCGTGCCAAACCTGAGGTTCGGTGGCTAGTGGATCCCTTCTATATATATCCTTCTATCCATGGTGTTATGCTGCCAGGTCTCCTCAGTCACCTGTGGCCACCCTTCCAGTTTCTGAGACCCCTCCCTCCATCCTCCCCCGGCCCCCATCCCCCATGGCTTCTGGTCCTGTATGGCCATTTGCATGCGAGCATTGGAACTGGACACCTGGCCGGACCACACTGTTTTTTTCCTGGAGGGTTGCCATCCGTTTTCCAGTTTTGAGCGACAAAGGGCCGTAGCAAGCGGCTGGACAAAGGTGACCAAGGCTTCAGTTTACTTTATTTTTGGGTTTGGTCAGCTGATGTAAGCTGGTATCATGAAGGTCCTTCGAGATCCTTTGGCAGCCGCTTCCTTATTTGTCTCTCTTCACGTCTGTCATGATATAATCTCTCTCTCGGGGGCTCCGCATGTCTCTCTCCGCATCGGGCGTGCCTTCGGGGCACTTGAGATGGGTCTTCCAAGCTTGGCTGCCAAGTGTTTGGCACCTATCTGCCTGAGGCGGTGGACAGAACACGTCAAAGGCCCCAAGCTCCGTTTTCGTTCGGTGTGGTACATGGTCCGAGTTTCGGTGGCCGTGCCAATGTGCCAATGCCACCACGGGGCGAACGTCAAAGCTAACAATGTGCATGGTACCAGTGCCCAAATAAGCACCCACATCTCAGGAAATGATATTTCTGCATGCTTCCTGGCTTCTAGTCCTAAAGGAAGCACCCCTTTACTAGCAGTAGTCGTACGGCAAAGCGATATACCCCTTGCTGAATCAACTGACTATCACAGTGAGGACTTCAAACAGGCAAGAATGGAAACAAATCTAACATGT